CCGCAAGTTCATCGCCGTGAAGGCGCACAGCCCGCAGGGCGAGGGCGAGATCCCGCTGCACCGCGGCGAGGCCGTGAAGGGTGAGGGGCGCGGGGGGCGGGGTCGGGTGCACCGCGGTCTGGAGTGGCTGATGCCATTTTGGGGTCGCCCTGGGAACTTGAGCCACGGCGGTCATGATGGGATGCATCTGCCACGGGGGACCCCTTGTGTCGTCGTGAAGGGCTCCGTGCCCGGGAGGGTCTCTGTGCACGGGGTTCCTGTCCCTCCATCGTGATGGGTTCCCTGTGTCCCCACCGAGGCTCCTCTCGTCGTGGGGTGTTTCTGTGTCACGGGGGCTGGTATCATCGGGGTTCTCTGTGTTCGAAGGACGCTATCCCATTACAGACTCCCTATGGTTATGGGGCCCCTAGGTCACTTCTGGGACTTCTTCCCTGGAAATCCTTGTGCCCGTGGGGAGCCTGTGCCATTGTGGGTGATGTCTGTGACAACTATGTGGGTGTCTGTGTATTAGGAGGGTTTCTGGCACGGGGCTCCTCTGTTCTGGGGAACCTCAGCCTGGGGTTCTCTGCCATCATCGGGGCCCTATCTTCGTGGGTGCCCTATGCCAGGGGAGCCTGGGGAGGAAACAGTCCTGAGGTCAGCCTGCCTGGTCCATCTGTGGCCCAGTCCCCTGGCAAAGCAGTGACCCTGCACTCTGGTCAGTGACCCTGGGGTGGGTGACAGCAAGGATGGAATGGGAGGAGAGGGGTCACCTGGGAGAGCAGGAGCAGGATGGTGGCCCCTGCCTCTGCCTCCTGTCCCCCCACGAGCGTGTCCATCTGTGTGTCTCTCTGTCCCCCACATGCCCATCCTGTGCTGTGCCCATCTGTTCGTTTCTCTTCCGTGTGGATCCCGAAATCTTTCCAGGGAAAACGCCAGGAGGATAAAGGAAGGGGAGGGAGGAAGGGTGCTGGGTGGGCGGGGAGAACCTGAGCCCGAGGTAGTGGGGGCCGTGGGGGCCGTGGGGGCGGCCTGCCCCTGCCCTGCCTGACAGTCTTTCTGGCCTCTGTCCCCCCAGTGCTCAGCATTGGGGAGGGCGGTTTCTGGGAGGGGACCGTGAAGGGCCGCACGGGCTGGTTCCCGGCCGACTGCGTGGAGGAGGTGCAGATGAGACAGTATGATACACGGCATGGTGAGTGACCCCCACATCCCCTGGGCTGCTCCCTAGCTCCCCTCTGGCCTTGCTTGGAGCTGAATACATGTGGACATTCAGAGAAAAGACGAGGGTAAACTCAAACACATATTCGACGTGGACGCAAACTTGTGTGCACAGCAGACACACGGCACACACACACCCTGCACGTACCTACGGACACCACACAGTAGTGGAAGCATGTGTGCTGTGCCCACAGGACACACATGTATGAACATGCATCTGTGTAGATCCCACATGTGCCCCCCAGGGACCATACAACTGCCCCCCCCCCATGACCCTAAGAGAAATACTGGGTGCTTGGAGTGCGTGGTTCCTGCATGGCTGGCAGACAAGTAATGAGGTCAGTGTGAGAAGAGAGACGTCTTTCCAAAGTGGACAGATTGTCCAGGTGGGCAGTGTGGGGAGGCCGGTCTGCCAAGAGGAAGTGAGGCCAGCTGGGCCCAGAGGGGCTGTTGTGGGTGCCCTGCAGCCAGGCAGGCTGAGGGCAGCAGGGGGGATGGCCTTGGCCTCCAGGAGGGACCCCTCTGGGTGCTGTGGTCTGAGGCCCTTTGGAGGCCCCACGCCAGGGCAGCTGCATAGCTGGGGAATAAATAGCCTTGCAATGAGCACTCAGAGGTCCAAGGAGTCTCCCAGACCCACGAGCGTTATTTCTGGCTGAGAGAGACCTCTCCTGAGCAGTGGCCAGTGGTGGTCACAGTGGTATCTCTGGACCAAGGGCTCAGGGCCCCTTCTTCTGCACAGGGCTTGGGCCCTGGGTGGCTGTGCCCTCTTAATCTGGTTGAGAGTTTCCCGAGGGAAGCCTACCCGAGGTGGCCCGGACTCCTGTCCCGTGTGGAACGTGGCCTCTGACCTGCTCCTGAGCAGGTGCCTTCTCCTGTTTGCTTGGCTCTTCCCTGCCTTGCCCCCGTGGCCCTCCAGGTGGCTGGGTGTGTGGCAGGGATGCGGCCCCGATTGTGTGCCTGTGGAGGGTAGATGGGGCGGCCTGTTCCGGTGAGGAAGGCTTTCAGAGTTTGGGGCCTTGGTGCAAACCTGACGGGGAGGGGCGGGGGAGGAGGGGTCCTCCAGATGTGTTCAGTTGGGAGTGGTCTGTGCTCCCCCGTGAGGTGGGCAGCGTTGGTTCTGGTTTGAGAACTGTGTGGCTCCAGGGCAATTGGACTCGAGGCTGAGGCTGGAGAGAGTGGGAGGGAGGCCTGGACTGGAGCTGGAATTTGAGGAAGCATATGTTTATTAGGTGTTTGACGTGGGTTGGATCTTGTCTTGGGAGCCAGGACCACAGAGGCTGGCTCTCTGCCTGGTTTCACGTTTGTGTGAGGCCTGAACGCAGTGTTAGCACAAGATGCTCCCAGGGCTGCCTGAGGAGTCAGGGCTTCGAAGCAGAGGCGTTTGAGCTGAGCCTTGAAGGATGACCAGGAGTCCTCTGGATGGTCAGCTGATGGTGGCGGTAGCAGAGCCCGTCTGCGCGTGCTGCCACCTGGCGTGCTCGGAGCAGCGTCCTGGTGCCAGCTGTGGTTTCCCGCACTTCCCATACAGAAACCGACTCACTTGCCCCAGCAGGTCCCAGAGGGGGGACAGCGGATGTTGGTCCATTTCTAGGAGGGCCGGTCCCACGGCCTGAGGAGCAGCCTCGTTTGTGACACAGGCAGTAGCTGCAGGGTCTGTGCTGTGGCCAGTGCAATTCACAGGCTCTGGGTGGGTGACACTTGAGTGTGCAGGGAGGGGCGGTGGGGCTGGAGTGGAGGTGTGAGGCCCGTTAGGTGGCTGTGGCTCCAGGGGGAACACAGTGGACTAGAGTTTGTGGCAGGGTGGCAGGAGGAGACGGGGTGCTATCTTGAGTGTGCAGGCCACTCAGGGTTAGTATGAGGGCCAGGCAGGGTGGTTGGAGGTGGCTGAGGGGCGGGTGGGCTGAAGTCTTGGGAAGGGAGAGAGCACACAGCATCCTGCTGCAGGAGCTATCGCCTCTGGGCAAGTGCAGGGCTCCTAGATGGGGTGGCTCTGGGGTTTGTCCCCGAAAGAATGTCAACAGGTACCTGGGTAGACGGGAGCATTTCCTGGGTGGGCAGAGGGAGAGAGGCCTATGGAGTCTGCCTGCTGGGAGGGACGGAGTAACTCTGTCCTCGGTGCAGGCCGGGCCTGCCAGCATCCTGGGCAGAGTCTGATCTGGGACCCAGGGGCTGGGTTGTGCCAGAGGCCAGAGGCAGCCCAGGAATGGGAACCTGCTTCCAACAGGCCCAGATCCAAAGAAAGATCTGTTTCTGAGACTGGAGTAGGGACAGAGAGACTTAGAGGCCAAGGAGGGGACACTGTGCCAACACATGGGGGCCAGGCTGATGCCCGGGATTAGCAGAGAGGGTGCCTCCTACAGCCCCTGAGCTGTGAGGGGGAGATGATGAGGCGAAGCCCTGTTTGTTCGGAGGCTGGTTTTTAGGGCACCTGGAAGGCTGTGGCTCTGGCAGCTGTCCCCCCCCCCCTTCCTCTGTGGTCATGCTGTGTGTTTTCACTTCAGCTGGCTTCATGTGCCTGATTAATGAAACTGGAAAATGAATTTCTGTTATATAATAAATACATTTTAGTTGACAAAATCTGAAAATGGGAGGCTAGTGAACGATGGAGTTGGGGTCCTTTTGCAGGCAGGCACGGGGGACATGTCTACAGTTGGGTGAATGTGAGAAGGGTGTGGTGGAGGCAAGGAGGAGTCTGGTGCTGACCTGAGCAGTGATGAGGCCTGGCCTGCTCTGGCCTTGGACGCAGGATGGAGTGCAGGAGTGTCCAAGCGGGTGTCCGTCATGATGGGCAGTGTGTGCAAAGAGGGGAGAAAAGAACAGATCGGTGCTTGGGAGGGTGCCAGGGTGATAAACCTACGGGCCGCGCAGGGTGCATTTCCCTTCTCTATAGGGAGAGCCTGGAAGGGGACCGTCAGCATTCTGAGCATCACACAAGGTAGTGGCAGATCCTGCCACCCAGACCAGTACTTGCCCTGACATGTGCATTAAGAGGGGCTCTTTCTTCTTTCCATCCAGCCTCTGCTTCCTTTACTCTTACATCCTTTATCCTTTGATTCACCCACTTGTCCTGCCATCATCTACTCATCTGTCAACCCACCCAGACCACCCAGTGTACCCAACCCTCCTTCCTTTCATTCATCCACCCATTTTTCCATCCATCCATCCATCTACCCACCTATCCATCCAACCCTCTGTCTGTCCGTCCATCCATTCATCAATCCATCCATCCATCCATCCATCCACCCACCCACCTCTCCTTCCAGCCACCCACCTGTTCATCTGTCCAGCCATCCATCTTTACTTCTATCTATTCCTCCTTCCGCCCATCTGTCCGTCCTACCATCAATTCATCCTTGCACCCCTCCATCCATTCATCCACCCATCCGTCTGTCCATCAATCCATCTATTCACCCACCAATCTATCCACCTATCCACCCACACATCTGTTTATCTATCTGTCTGTCCATCTATCCATCGGTCCATCCCTCCATCCATCTGCCCATCCATCCATCCATCCATCCATCAATCCATCTACCATCCATCCCTTCTTCCATCCATCTCTCCATTTGTTCATCCATTTATCCATCCATCTATCCATCTGTCTGTTCATCAATCTATTCGTTCATCCATCATTCGTCTGTCCATCAATCCACCCACCCTCTCGTCCATCTGTCTGTCTGTTCATCCATCCGTCCACCCATCCTTCCATCCATCCACCAATCTAGTTATCCCATCAAACCACTCAGTCCACCTTCCCATTTGTTTATGCATCTGTTACCCTTTGACCCCTTCATCCATCCTTCCTGCTCTCTATCCCTCCTTCCATCTATTTCTTGTTCCATCCCTCCTTCCCTCCATCCATCATATAGTCATTCGTCCAACAACCCACCCAGTTGTCCACCCATCTATTCTTCTAGTTATCTAGGTGCTAGGATCACAGAAATAAATGTTAGCTCACAATTAGTGGAAGAGATAGGTTATCAAAAATCATAGGGCCCTAGCTGGTTTGGCTCAGTGGATAGAGCATCGGCCTGCGGACTGAAGGGTCCCAGGTTTGATTCTGGCCAAGGGCACATACCTGGGTTGCTGGCTCGATCCCCAGGATGGGGCATGCAGGAGACAGCCGATCAATGATTTTCTCTCATCATTGATGTTTCTATCTCTCTCTCCCTCTCCCTTCCTCTCTGAAACCAATAAAAATATATTTTAAAAAATCATAGATTCTCATTTGATCTCCTTTCCTACCCTGAGTGCTTGCCCCCAGGAAATCCTTTACCCATGCAATCTATGGTGGCTACCTCATGGCCTGTGCCTTTGGGGGGCCTTCATGTGACCACCCATCCATCCATCTTTATATCCATTATCTCTCCCTCACCCTAGAACCGTGGACTTTCTCTGTAACCCTGTCCTGCATCCTCTTAACACTTACCAGCATTTGGCATGTTATGTATATACGTATTTCTTGTTTGCTCTCCCTCTCTTTGAAAGAATTGTAAACTCTATAGGGTAGGGGCTTAGTTCTGTTATCTGCTGTATTCTCAGAGGCCTAAAACAAAGAGTGCCTGGCAGGGGCTGCAAGCAGGAGTTCAGTAAATACTTGTTGAATGAATAAATTAATCTTGAGAAATACTGAAATGATAGAGAATGAGGGAGGAGTTGAGGGATGAAATGTGAGTGGCAGTGGAACCATCTGGGGGAACACCTTGGAGGCAGAGGTGCTATGAGGTCTGGGGGGCAGAGAATCTGGTCCATGGGCAGCTGCAGAAGTGAGCCTGGAGCAGGGAGGTGCTGGATGGGTATGTCCCATAGAACCTGCAGGTCTGCAGGGGATCAGGGAGGCTCAGGGTGGGGCAGTGGCTGCGAGGGACGCCAAGATCAAGAGTACAGGTGGGAAAAAACTCTGTGCGTTGTCGTGACATCAGGGAAGGGACCCAGCCCCCACACCCGGACTCTGTGCACTCAGAGGCTGGACCTGGAGCAAGGGACCCCGTGAGGTTGAGCATCAGTGGGCGTGTGAGGGGTGCAGTGAAGACACAGTGCTGTTTCCATGGCAGTGCATGTGGGCATGTAGCATGACGTAGGTACATGACTGGACACAGAGACATGCATATGTACAAGCACATGTGAGCACAGCACTTACACGCGACTGTGGGCCACACGCATGCGCCTCACACATGGACATCTTTGCTGGTAACTCCGGGCTCCGGTTCTCTGTGGCCTTGGTCGGTCTGCCATGTGCATGGGGGAGAGGTGACCCACAGCCCCTGCCCTGTTCTGAACCCTGACCCCAGAAGCCAGAATTTCCCATATGGTCCCCTCTGCCCTCTGACCTCAGGACCTCTGGGCCCAGGACCCAGAATCCCCCCTTCCCCACTTCCATGTGGCACAACCAGGCCAGGGGGTGTGGGCAGAGGCTGGTGACCACTGTGGTTGAGGGGCTGTTCAGGCCGCTTGGAGGGTATGACCTCCATCAGCAACTGAAACTCCCCTCAGAAACACGGGAGGACCGGACGAAGCGACTTTTCCGCCACTACACTGTGGGCTCCTATGACAGCCTCACCTCTCACAGGTACCGCAGGGCAGGTGGGCAGCTGGGCACGTGGGCAGGTGGGCACACGGGCACGCATGTGAGTGGGATGTCAAATGTAAAGGGAGGCTGAGAGCTGGACAAGGAGGCCTGGGTGAAGAGGAAGGAGGAGGGAGTGGTGGCGCCCAGCCTTCTTCTGCCCTCCCAGGTCAGTTCAAGGGCAGCCCTCCCAGGGTGGGTCCTGCCTGAGGGACCCTTTTTGGGGCATGCGTGGGGTCAGCTTGGCCAGCGTGATAGCAGGCTTCTTCTCACCCCTCCCTGCTTTCCTCCACCAGCGATTATGTCATTGATGACAAGGTGGCCATCCTGCAGAAACGGGACCACGAGGGCTTTGGGTTCGTGCTGCGGGGGGCTAAAGGTAATGAAGGGTTGGGGGCTGGGTGTCAGGCTGGCAGGGGCTGCAAACTGTTTGGGGCTTTTGTTCCGCCCCTCTGCTCTCCTCCCTGCCCCTGCACCTGTCCCCAGTGTCACCCCATCCCCTCTCCAGGCCACACCCCTCCTTGTCCCTCTGCTGTGACTATACTCTTGGTCTGGAATGTCTCAGTACAGGGCAGGGACTCCTCCTCCTTGTGGACGTCCAAGATTGCTGCTCTCGTGTGCCTGACCCAGTCGGGCCTCTCGGTGGGGGTGAGAGGGGAGTTTCTCAGAGGGATGTACCTTGGATTCCAGAACTGGCTCTTGTCCTGGGTGGCGCCTGCCCACTGCCCAGCCCAGGGCGCTCTGCCTGGTTTTATCTGTTCGGCATGTTGCGCCACTCTTGGGCTGTTACTGTGTGACAACCGCCTCCACCTGGACACACTAGTGAAGCCCCTCCCTAACGCCCCGCCCACCCCTGCAGCAGAGACCCCTATCGAGGAGTTCACCCCCACGCCGGCCTTCCCTGCACTTCAGTACCTCGAGTCTGTGGATGTGGAGGGTGTGGCCTGGAGGGCCGGGCTGCGCACGGGAGACTTCCTCATCGAGGTGAGGCTCATCCTTACCTGTGCGTCTGGGTGGGTGCTGACCTCTGAGCCCCGAGGACACACCTGGACCACCCCCACCCACCTACCTGTCTGTCCCAGGTGAACGGGGTGAACGTGGTGAAGGTTGGACATAAGCAGGTGGTGGCTCTGATCCGCCAGGGCGGGAACCGTCTCGTCATGAAGGTTGTGTCGGTGACCAGGAAGCCGGAAGAAGACGGGGCTCGACGCAGAGGTGAGGTGTCAGGCTTCAGGTCTCACGCCCAGACTCTCCCCTCTGGCTCCTGACCTTAGACCGCTGGTCCCGGGCCCATGTTCCTCTGCCCATCCCCTGGCCCCAGACTGCTGACATCAGGTGTCTGAACCCAAGTGAAATGCCCCACTCGTGGCTTGGATGCTTTCCCAGCTCTTGCTGTTAGACTGGCCCCCTGGCCCCCAGTCTGTGACCCCTGACCCCAAGTTGCCCCTCCTCAGATCCCCGCCCCCTGCTTCCTGGCTTCCCCCAGCCCCTGGTGTGGAAGAGCCCTCCTTCCCTGCACTGCCAGCAGCTGCCTGGAGGCCGGGGTTGCCATAGCAACTGTGAGGTTGACGCTGCCTTCCGCTCATTGTCGGAGGGAAGGGGGAGGTGGCACCTGAGGGAAGGGCTTTGCTGGCCGGGCCCAGCCCAGGCCGTGGCTTAGCTGACCACACCAGAGTCCCCTGAGGGGCAGTGGCCTCCAGGGTCTGGGAGAGCCCTGGAGCAGCAAGAGTCCCGCCTGCTGGGGACCCCTCCCAGCCCCCACCCCATGGCTCTGGTGGCCCTTGCTCAGCCTTCAGAGGCTAAAGGGTGGGCACTCAGGCTAGAGCTGGCCAGCACCGTGACCCCTCCTGGGGCTCTTGACCACCTCCTGAGGCCCCTGGCCAGTCCGGCCCTCAGCACCCCCTGAGCTCCCAGCGCCATGAAGAAGTTTGCATCCAGCCGCAGCCTGAACAAGATCCTGGCGCAATGTGACACGTCCTCACGGGAGTACGAGGAGATCCAGGCGGTGGAGCGCAAGTGGCACCTGCACCTGGCCACGCCGCGCTGCCTGCTGCTGGACAGGAGGTCCAAGGCCTCCCTCTTCTTTGCAGCCCCGCCGCCCCCCAAGAGGGCCCCCAGCACCACATTGACCCTGCGTTCCAAGTCCATGACGGCCGAGCTTGAAGAACTTGGTGAGCAGTGGGGGCGGGAGGTTGAGGGCAGCCCAGGGTGGGTGGCCAGGTGGAGTGAGCTGGCGCCAAAGCCAGGCAGAGGGAGAGAGGGCAGGAAGGACAGACAGATGTGTGAAGAGGTGTAAGGTAAATAGGTGGGTGCTGGAATGGTGGGATGATGAGGGGGACACATGTGGATGGGATGAGGGCCAAGGGGCTGGATGACAGGGTTGGAGATGGATATGGGGCCACCAGACGGTGGCGGGAGCAGGGCCTGGCCCACCAGTGTGTCTGCATGCGTGCACATGTGGCTCTCCAGTCTGACTTTACTCCTTCGTTTCACCCACGTGAGAAAAGGGCAGGAGTCTGGGCCCTGGGCTCTGCCCCGGCTCTGCCTGGCGCTGGCTGTGTGACTTGTGCATCTGTTTTACCCTCTCAGCACCAGCTCACTCACTGGTTGAGCAGGGTAATTACAGTGAGCGGCTGACCTCACAGGGCTGTGTGCACCTCACTGCTTCAGTGACGGGCAGGCCCTCGTGGGCTGCAGGAGGCACATAAGAGTGTGTCAGGGCTTTGATGGGGCATGTTGTGGGCACAGTCCCAGAGTGATGTTGGTAAGCTCGTTGTGGGCATGTCTTGAGATATGTGACTGTTAATAGCCTCGTCATAGGTGTGTCCAGATATACGTAGCCATGTCCTGATATTTGTGACCATCAGCGTCCTCCTCATGAGCGTGTCCTAGTCACATGACTGTTAATGTGCTCTGTCCTTCTATAGTCTATACCCAGTCCTTTACTCTGGCTTCAGCCAGGATCTATCCCAGTCCTGACCCTGATCCTGGTTCTAGAATGAGCTTCAACCCTGGCTTAGGCTTGGTTCTTCCCTAGCCATAGAAAGAGCCCTATCTGTCTGCTAAAGTTATTCCTGACCTGAGTCATTGACTGAGCCCTGATCCCATCCTGGCCACGGGCTGAGCCACCCTGTGCAAGCTGGTACTCTTGACTGTAGTTTATCATGGAGGACAGCCACCCAGATCAACGGAATTGACAGGATTTTCCTTCCCCGTGAATATTATGAATAAAATAAAAACACATAGCTAACTTGAAACAAAAGAATAGGAATCCCCTAGGTCTCAAAAATGAAGAAAGAAATCAGAGCCAAAAAGAGAGGAAGCTGATGCTGCCATAGTCCATGATGGCTTGGGACAGGATGTAGATTCCCAAGGCAAGGGGTTGAGGCTCTGATGCCCCTACAAAGCCAAGAGATATGGTTGTGGACCCAAAGCTGGAACCACACCCAAGAACTGGAATTAGCATCAAAAGAACTGAAAATCATAGAAGAATATGAAAGAGACAAAATAATGTGTTTAAATACAGAGTTTAAGAGAAATGACAGAATTCATAGTGAAAGAACAAGACAGTACCAAAAGGAAAAAAAAATAAAGAAAGAAAAAGATTTTAAAAGGATCCCCAAAAAACTGTATTGAAACAAAAATTATAGCCACTGGGACTAAAAAAAATCTCTGAGATGAACAGGATTCCTCCGTGTGGCAGGGTTGTTCACAGACCCAGCTGAAGAAAACAGTGAATTAGAAGATAAGTCTGAAGAGATCACCTAAAATGCAGCACAGGAGACAAGGAGATAACAAACTATCAAAGGGCAGATGAGACACAAAAGAATAAAAACTTTGAGGAAGAGGCAACATTTGAAGAGTAAATGGTTGATAATTTTCAAAATTGAAAAAGGAGACGAGACTCCAGTTTAAAGAAGTGTAAGTCCCAAGCAAGGAAATATAAAATAAATCTACACATGTAGACTTGTCATAGGAAAACTTCAGAACACCATAGACAAAAAGGAAAATTGTAACCACCAGAGAAAAAAGCTGGATGACCTAGGAAGGAAGGGAAGACTGACAGCTGATTTCTAATCAGCAGTAGTAGCTTCTAGGAGACGACGGAATGATAACTTCAGAGTCTTGTGTGAAAATGCTTTTCCACCTAGAATTCTATATCCTGCTAAAACCCACTCATTCAAGAGTGCAGCAGGGAAGCTAGCAGACTTCTGGTCTCAGGGTCACAAGGGTTCAAGGTTAGTCATGGGGAGCTGATCTGCTACACTGACTGAGTGTCCAAACTGATCAATGCACCAATACCCCTAGGCAGCGAGGTCTGTCTAGACACCATATTGAGGCTCTGTTGGGCGGGTCCCAGGAGCCTCCTTCCAGAGGCTGTTACCCAGCCATGCTCAGCAGCACGTCAGAAGGGAGCCCCCAGTTCTGCATGAAGAGGTGCTTGGGCAACCCCAGATCTGTAATCCAGGGACCAGTGGCTGCTCTGTGTGAAGAAACCCTTGAACACAGATCCTCCCTTCTCTCTGCCCTGGTCCAGGGCTTTCCCTCTGCTGCTGTGTAGCCCTCGTCTTCCAGGGGCTCACTCCTGCAGCCTCAGGTCGGCGTCATCTTCATCCACTTTTCCGGAGCAGAGTTTCAGGAAGGATGAGGAAGGAACAGCTTAGCACAGAGCCTCTGTCCACACTGCTGACTGAGGGGTCACAGCTTTGGTTGAAGCTGGACCCAGGCTTTTTTTTTTCTCTGTTTGGAGGAAAATCCATTCCGCCCCGCAGAGGACAGCTGTCCTGGGAAGCCAGCCCAGGTGTCGACCTCTATGAATACCTGGTTTGAGGAAGCCAGGCCGGCATCAGGGTCTTCCCACATACTACAGAGCTCAGCTTGCGGTCCAGTGCTGGTGCTTTCAAAAGGTAGACATAAGGCCCGTTGGCTCACTGCCAGTATTAACATGTCAGTTCTGTGTCACACTGTTGAGAACTGATGGGACCATTTAGGGTCCCTGTAGTCTATCGAGAAGATGACCTAAATAGCTGGAAAGAAAGGAAGATGTGAGGTGACAAAAAAAGCAGGTGGCAAGGGTGGGGGCTCAGAGAGAGTGTGGGGGAGAAGCAGAGCCCTGAATGGCTGAGGGGCTGGCAGAAACAACAGAGAGGAAGGGGGTGGGTAGGGACCCTCCCCTGAGACAGGTGGTAGAAGGAAGGGCAGGACACCCCCAGTGCTCTTAGGCAAGTGTGCATCGGGGTTCCCACATGCTCATCTCCTCAATATGAACCAAGGACATGCTGGGGCTGCAGAGGTCAGTGGAGACCCAGACTTGGGAGTGCCCGGTGAGTCTGAGTCCCCTCCTACTCACCCACTTTCTCATGGTAAATCTTGAGCTTCTGGGTCTTTTTTCCTCTGTGATGAGAACGTTGGGGCAGGTGCCACGTCAGTGTGCGGTCTCTGACTGGCCTGCCCTTTGTTGGAAACACACTGTGCAGAATGCTCCAGGGCAACCAGTGATGCCATCAGTGACTCCAAGCTTGGTTTTTATGGGATTTTGCCCTTTCTCTAAAAGAATTTGACTTACTTGTCTGTGGACGTCTCCACATGTGTGTGCATGTCTGTGTGTGCATGTCTGTGTGTGCATGAGCATGAATGTGTGCACATGTGTGAGTGGATGTGTGGGGACGTACAAAAGCATGTGCACATCGTGTGTGAATGGACATGCACAAGCATGTATGTAAATGTGTGTGAGTGGACATACACAAGCGAGTGTATAAGTATGCGTGGATGTGCACGTGCATGTGTGTAATCATGTGTGAGTAGACAGGTATAAACGTGCGTGAACATCATGTGTGAACTTGTGTGTGAGTGGACATGCACAAATGTGTGAACATATGTGTACACAAACATGCATGGGCAGTGTGTGTGCACACATGTGAGTCAGTGTATGTGGATGTGCACAAGTGTGTGTGCATCGTGTGTGTAGACACACACAAATGTGCATGAGTGTGAGTGGAACTGCATGGGCCCCATGTGTACATGTGTGAGTGGACTGTAAATGTGTGTGTGCATGTATGTGTGTGCATGCACACAAAAGCATATGTCTCTGCTTGTGATTGTTTCTGCCTCGAGTTTCAAGCTGTGTACTAATTTGGCATTGGGCAGATTTGCCCCTTTGGTCTGGTAGAGAGTGTAGGTTGTGGGTTGTGGGGGTCTGGGAGGTCCTGGTTGTTAGAAGGGGTGGGAAAAGAGAGGTGGGCAAAGGGGGTGGGGAATGGGGCCCGGGTGCTAAGGATGAAGCCTGCCTCTTACCCCCTTTGCTCTGTTTCTTGATTCCAAGCCTCCATTCGGAGAAGGAAAGGGGGTGAGTCATCTGCTGTGTCCCCAGGGCCACAGCTTCGCCTGACCCCTGTCCAGGGAAGTGCTGGTGTATGAGGAGGTTCCAGTTCACTTAGGGTGGTCTGGAGGCCTGGGCTGTACCCTCCTGATGGCCTTTTCTCTGGGATCTGGTGGGGGCACAGTAGAAGGACCTGGCTAGGGTCACCTGGGGATGTGATAGGCTTGGTCAGGGGCCTTGTGGCTCAGGTGAACTGGGGTGGCCTGGTGAGGCAGAGCTGGGAACCCCCAGAGCGGAGGCCTGGAGCCAGGGAGGGTGGGTTTAGGACCCAGCTGTGACACTTCGGGGGTGGGAGTGTCCGGTGTTTGACTTGGCCCAGGTTGCTGCTGCTTGTCTGCTCTGGGGGCTCCCTTGTGCCTGGTGTATGGGTGCTGTTTCCGTGCTGATCTGTTTTGGGGTCAAGCCCAGTGCTGACAGTCCCTCAGAGCATGAGTCTGGGCCCACAGCACTGGGGAGACAGCCTGGAGTTCCCACCCCAGCATCGCCCACCTGTTGGCTTCCCCATCCCTTGCTGCTACCTTCAGACCTCATCTGCCATGTCCTCTGAGGCGCCTCCCTGTACGTTTGGCCTGGTTTCGAGGGACACAGCATCCATGTGGGGACAGAGTCTGGGCCTGGGCACTGAGGGCCAGTATCTGTCAGATCTCAGGGCCTGGCTTCTGCCAGCTTCTCCCACCTCTCGGTGAACAGGATTCCAGGCCACACAGAAGCCAGAGGTGGCTCTGTGGCCCCTCATTGTCCATGTACCCGGTGCTCACCGGTCCTCACTCTGGGACCCATGGGCCTTTCCTGTGCCAGCACACACCTGCCCACCTGCAGTCCATACTCTCCTGCACAACCTGCAGCCTGGCCCTCTGAGTTCTCGCCGCCCCTTCCCCAGACCCAGTGAAGTGCTTTCCTGGGCATCTTTTCAGGCGTTAAAACAGGTGATGGAGTCTCCTCTGTGGACACTTTTGTGCACACCTTGAGGCCGACATGCGAACTATTTCTGGAGCACATCGGTTCTGTGCTGGGCTCATTAGCGGGGCTCCCAGGGAGCTGTGCTGTGGCCTGCGCACTGCCTCCAGTTATAGGGGCAGTGATGGTGATTCATCGCCCCCACAGGCCCCGCTTGTTCAAACAGCCGCATCCGCCCCGGCCCCACGACAGCTGTGTGTGTGTCTGGTGGTGTGGGGGGTGGGGGGTTGGGGGTGAGACATGCCAGGGACCCAGACCCGCTTCCTAATGGGCTTCATTCCCTTACCTAAATATCTGAAATGCTGTAAGAGCACACTTGCTAATTTGGGGGGGGATTGGGTGTCAATCTCACTAGTTTATAGTATGAAGAATTTTTATTCTTTCCAATTTGAAAATAATTCTCATCTGGCCTAGTCCCGTGGCCCACAGCCAGCAGTTGTGCTTGGCTACCTTACTGAGCATGTGGCGTTGGGTCTCGGACCGAGTTCCGGACCTGGACAAGAGGCCTCTAAATTCACAGCTCAGGTGAGCACGTGCCCTGCGATTCCCACGGAAGTGTTTCTCTCCATACCTGTCTTTTTGTCTGTGGTTTCTGGGCAGCCTGGCAGCTAAGTCTGACCTTTCATTTACTGGGTCTGTGATCTGGGCAATTTATCTCTCAGAGCTTCAGTTTCTTCTTGGGTAGAATGAGGGCAGTAACAGTATCTTCTTCGTGTGGTTGTTGTGGGATGACAGGTGAAGCACTTCCCACTCTGGAAACCGCCTGGAACCTAAATGGTCTCGGCTCCAAAGGGAAGGCATTCACCTCATTACAAAACAAACAAGGGCCTCTAACAGGCCTCCCTGGTCCGCACCTGGGCCCGGGTGAGTTGAAACTCTGGTGGAGCCCTCCCCCAGGAGGGCCTTTCCCCCAGGCCCTCGTGTCAGGGCGGGCTGGGTGCCCTGGGCTGTAGGGCAGCTGTGGAGCTGATTGTAGCAAGCGTGTGCTTGGTGCCTGCCCAGAGCTGACAGTGGTGGCACCTCTAGATATGCGCTATCTCACAACACTGAGGCAGGTGCCGCTTGTGTGCTCTTTCATCAGAGGAGGAAACTGAGTCATAAAGAGGCTAAGCCAGGAAAGTGAGTGTACAGAGTGGGTCTGGTCTGGGTTGGGTACTGGACATCTCAGAAGTTTATCTGCTTTGCATGGCGATTGTGGGCGGGTGCAGAGGTGGGACAGCAGGTGCTGGTAGGAGGTGTCGAGGCTGACCCCAGACGTTCTCCCACGTGGGGCTCTTGGGTGACCTGACGCGTGGGCCTGTAGGGTTGGCACAGTCCCTTGGTTGGGAGGGTGGGATCTCGAACCTGAGTGAAGGATGGAGTGGGCAGGGCTCCTGAACAAGAGGGTCCCCTGGCAGCAGGTGGGCACCCGACTGCACTCCGCGCTGGCCCCAACTGGACCCATCTGTCCTCCAGCTGGACCTGATAGCTCTCAGACACACCCAGTTGTTTAACAAAACCTCCAAGTCGTGTTCATAAAAAACAACACTTTGAAAAGCGTCAACCAGCTTTAATAAAAACAAACAGAGCTTTTCTTTTACAACGGATTTGAGAAGAACAGTGCCTGGGGGCTCCTGGTGCCTTTCCCCCAGGCCTTGTTCAGCCCTGTGGGTCCCCCTTGCCCCACACCCTCTTCTTGGCACCTCCCACCTGGACAAAGGTTCTTTGGCTTCCTGAGCAGCCTGGGGCACTCAGCTGTTTTCTTTCATTCTTGATTGATTCGCATCTTTCGTGGGCACCCGCTGGACCTCAGGGCTGTCCTGTGCGCTGGGCCCAGAGGGTGATACCTTGTGCTGAGGAGAAAAGTGAAAGTCAAAGGACACGGAATCTTGGGGAGACCGGGGCTCTCAGCAGTGTGCCCGGGTTCTCCCCCTAAGGGTCAGTCGGCCTTTTCCTGGAGTGGTGTCTCCAGGGTCCCCTGGAGCCTCGCCAAGGGTGGAGAGGCAGGCTGGTGCAGAACCTGGGTTCTGGTGTGTGAGGGCCACCATCCCAGGTCTGGAAGCAGCCCTGGGGAGTGGGAGGTCTGAGGTGGGCCCAGCATGGGGTGGACCAGCCTTGTGGGGAGGACAGAACAGTGAGGCTGCTCAAGGTCATGGTGGCTGAGAAGACACCTTCTTGGTGTGCAGAGAAACTAGATGAGATCCTGGCGGCCGCCACGGAGCCCGCACTGAGGCCTGACATCGCGGATGCTGACTCGAGGGCGGCCACCGTCAAACAGCGGCCCACCAGCCGGAGGATCACCCCGGCCGAGATCAGTGTAAGCTGTTGGGTGGCTGGGTGTGGGGGGTGGGCTGAGGGCTGGGTGGAGCATGGGTGTTTGCACATTTTCTGGGGTGGAGGTCCATCATTTGGACCCCACACTTTAGGAGTGGTTGTGAAGATCCCCCAGACTCCTGGAGACACTTGGGGCCACCTCAGCCCCCAGAATGGCCACAGTTGACCACGTGCTGAATGGCTTTCAGTGCCTTAGGCAGGTTCTGTGCCAGCCCTGTTCATGCCACAAATAGTGTGTCTTTATCCCCTGGCCCACTTCTAGCAGCATGCACAGGTCCACTCCCTATGCCACCATCTTGGTTTTCTCTTTTTTTCTAGCCTTCTTGCTGTGTTTTCTCTTTCCTGGTTGTCTCCTCACAAGTGGTGGCCTTCATCCGGGCGATAGGCCCGGCCGAGATCAGTGTAAGCTGTTGGGTGGCTGGGTGTGGGGGGTGGGCTGAGGGCTGGGTGGAGCATGGGTGTTTGCACATTTTCTGGGGTGGAGGTCCATCATTTGGACCCCACACTTTAGGAGTGGTTGTGAAGATCCCCCAGACTCCTGGAGACACTTGGGGCCACCTCAGCCCCCAGAATGGCCACAGTTGACCACGTGCTGAATGGCTTTCAGTGCCTTAGGCAGGTTCTGTGCCAGCCCTGTTCATGCCACAAATAGTGTGTCTTTATCCCCTGGCCCACTTCTCCTACTGGGCACCTATTGGGCTACTCCCCTAGCCTCACCTGCGCCACACCCAGGGCCGCTGTCTGCTCTGGCCACCTCTGCATCAACCCACCCAACACTCTGCCCAGGCCTCTGCTACCTGGCCCTGCTATGGAGGCAGGCGCCTGGGCACCAGCACGTTGGACATAGTGCATGGGTGAGATGAGGCTTAGGAAGAGTGTGGGCGGAACCTCCATGTACCCTCCCGACTCCCACAGTCACTGTTTGAGCGCCAGGGCCTCCCAGGCCCAGAGAAGCTGCCAGGCTCCCTGCGGAAGGGGATTCCACGGACCAAGTCTGTAGGTACGGCCGGGCTGGGGTCTGCACGGGGCGGGGGGAATGGGACCAGGGTGGACACAGGGCTGGAGGACCCTCTCTCTCCACCTTCAACTGGGTTTTCAGTTCCCCTCTGAGTCCTGCCTCTCCCTGGCCCTAGCCCAGAGATCTCATATGTGGACATATGTGGGGGTGGGGGTGGGGGTGAGTCCTTTGGCAAACTCAGAGATACTTTGCTAAAACAGACTCTTCAGACTCTCCCCACACCTATCTACAGCTTCCTGTCCAGTGGGTACCCTCCATCCATGGCTCCCACCCATCCCTAGGCCTTGTCTTCTATGCTGGATGCCTGAGTATATGTCATATTTCTGGTCCTAAAACTACCCTCCCCTTGAACCTGCCCCCACCCCTACCCCAGCTTTCCTCAATACCGCTCTCCTTTCCTTCACAGTCCGTTTCTCCAAAGTCACCTATACTTTCTGTCTCCTGTCCCCCGCCTGCAGCTGCGGAAGGCTAGCTCTGTACCTAAAATTGAAGTTGCTCCCACCATGGTCACCAGTGTTTTCCAGGGTGTTCCTCCCGGTGCCTGTGACCAGCCCTCTCTTTTGGACTTCAATTCACAGTTGATTTTCCTGCTTCCTTGTCCATGTAACTCTTCTCCCAGTTTTAGGACACTTCTCAGCTGCACATGTTCAGGCTTCTCCCAGCCCCACACACCAAGGTGGGTCCTTCTGTCCTCCCCGAGGAGGACACCACACCACACCAACATGGAACTTTCTCAAGGCTGTGTCCTTGGTCTCTCTGCCTCTGCACCTGTCTCCATGGGACATCACGTTCCAGCTGATGTCATGCCCCACACTTGGCCATGTCCTCTTTTGACCCTGGGCCTGGTCATCTAACAAGCCCCACCTGCTGCTCATCCTTCTAGGCATCCAGTGCCCTCTCCTGCTCACCTGCCATCCATCTACCCACAGACCTGTCCACTTATCCATCTATCTGTCCATGTACACCTCACCACACTCATCATGTATTAACCAGTAAATGCCCCTTCAACACTTACACCAACACTGCGTATGCTCACTGCCACACGTAGTCCTTCGAGGAACCCTGAAGAGGTAACACTATAGTTAGTACCTGTGTTACCGACGATGAAACTGAGGCAAAGAGGCCAAGTGACTTGCCCAAGATCACGCAGCTGCCTTACCTGTCTTCTGTTCACCCACCTGGCCAACCAGTTGCCCAAACCCCAATCCCTCATTCACCCTAGGACCCCTGATGCTCGATGCCCACTCTAGACTGACCCTGGGCCAGGTGTGGGGGCTCAGTTGGGGGAGGTGACACATGTGCAGACAACTCAGTTTGGCAGTTGTGGTGAGTGTGAAGGAGCACGTCCAGTTAGAGACAACTAGGGGTACCAGCCACACCTGGGTGTCTGAGTTTGACATGCAGGATGAGTGGGGGTTTCTGGGAGATCATGTGGTGAGTTACTGATAAAGGCCATCATCATAGGTGGCATGGTCCTTCAGGGACTGCTGTGGGTCCTTTCTGTAGGGGGAGGAGGAGGAAGAGGGTTGGTGAGACTGCAGCCACTTTGGAGCTCAGAGGTACCTCCCTCCTCCCACTGGCCTAAGCCCTGGGAGTCCTCCATGGTTTCCTCTTTATTCTCTGCTTCCCCTGACAAATTAGGGGTACACTGCCTCCTCAAATGCCTTGTGCCTGACTCCTCACCAGCTTTGTGGCCCTGCCTGGCCGGGCCTCGGTGTCTTGCTCTTGGATCACAGCTTTGGTGTCCTTCAGACCTCCCTTCCCAGCTCCACCCACAGGTCAGATGGGGACTTCTGCAGAGCAGATATCACCCCTCATCCCTGCAGTTGACCCTCTGTGGGCTCCCAATTGCCTTGGGGTGTTGGGGACCAACCCCAGCCCTCTCCTGCTTCATCGGGGGCCATCTGTCTCGGCCCCCTCTGACCTGGGCCTGCCAGACGCATTGTTCTCCACCTGACCTCACTCTGCCAGAGGCTATCCCTCAGCTACACCCAGTCCCAGGACAAACAGGTGCACATCCAAGTGCCTGCCCATTGGGACATGAGCCCAGATGGGGATGGCAGCTCTTTCCCACTCACCCTCTTCGACCTTTCAGTGCTTGGGCCGTGAATGAGCTGAAAGGGGCTCATCATTTTGTTTATCCTCATCCCAGGATTTTTTCCATTGATTTTCAGAGAGAGTGGGAGGAAGTGGGGGAGGGGGAGTGAGGAGGGGAAAGGGGGAGGAGAGATATGAGAGAGACACATCTATTGGTTGCTCCAACCCGCAACCCAGACACGTGCCCTTGGTTGGGAATCGAACCTGAGAATTTTCGGTGCATGGGCCAGTGCTCTAACCACTGAGAACAACAGCCAGGGCAAATGGTGCTCATCTTTGACCCCTCTTCTTGGCCTGCCAAACAAGTTACCAGACTCCTGGAGAGCCCGCCCCTTGTCCTGGCTATGTGGCCTTGGCACATGGTTCAGTCCTTGAAACCTCAGGGTGCTGATGTGGAAATGTGGGGACCACCGAGTGCCTGCCTACATCCAGGGCCGCTCTGAGGCTCCCCCAGGGGCTGCACTGAGCGAACACTGGGCCACTGCTTGTGCTTGGTGGTGTTGGTCTACCATTTGGGGGCCAGCACTCAAGTGCTGGGGTACTGCTCTCTGCCCACCCAAGATGGCATCAGAACAGACTCCCCATTTCATCCTGAGGCAAGGGACTTGAAGTTAGAACTTGGCACATCACACCCCCTGCAGCTCCTGGGGCACCGGCTTCCCTGTGTACCTGTCTCACGCACGTGGGCGGTGGGTGTTTATATACTGTGTTCCTGTGTCCAGCAAGGGGGTGGAAGGCAGACCTGATATGATGATGACGACCTGGGTCCCCTCTAGGTGCTGAGCCCTGTGCTGTAAGCTCTAAATGGCTCCACCTCACACAGGCCCACAATGGGGGAGGGAGCAGGGAGGGCAGTGCCCCTGAGATGAGGAAACTGAAGTGCTGATAGGTTAAGGGACGTCAGACAGTAAGGCCTCTTTACTCAAAAGTCCACCGGTGCTGAGCTGGGGATATGAGAGCTGTTAAGCAGGCCAAGAAGCAAATGGGCGTGGGCGGCCTGGCGCAAGCACTGGCTGGCTAACGGGGGAGGCGGTTGTGGACAGGCAAGAGGCATCTTGTTGAGTTCATAAAAATATCACCCAGCCAGAGGGAGGCCAGGTGCACATCCCCAAAAGGCACTCCACAAGAGGCGTGTGTGTCGACATGGAGCGCCATTAATGCACTCTCCTTGGGTTGGGCCACAACACCTGCAGCACAGGTGTCCACATGGTGTCTACAAGGAGGCCCTGCCGGTCTGCAGGTGGGCAGCAGGGAGATGTGGGCTCTGAGCACTCCCACCTGCCCTTGCTCAGACCCTAACTATGTCCGAGGCAGGCAGAGTGGGGTTTATTTTAATGTGTGTTGCCCAGGAGAGAACTGAAGCTCAGAGGGGCTCGGGGCTTGGCCTGGGGTTGCACAGCCAGCAAGGAGTAAAACCGAAATGTGGGGTGGTCAGTCTGCAGTTCCATTTCCATCCACCCTCCTTCGCTCCCAGTGACTGGCAGCCTCGGTCCACTCCATCCACCTGATCCTGTACTGGACATGCACCACGCACCCCCTTACCTGGGCATCAGCTGTCTCCCTGCCAGAGGCATGGCTTCCCTGGCCACAGCCCTTCTGTCCCTGTGTCTGCAATGGATCCTTCCTGCTCAGAAAGTGCCCTTTTCTCTGCCTCTGGCTGCCCCCAGGCCACCCCCTGGAAACCTGCTGGTTGCAGGCTGTGATCGGACTCGGGAAGCCCTGCACCCCACCTCCATGACTGCAGGGCTGCTCCTACCCTTCTGGGGTGTCTCATTTGAGCCTCTTTATGTCCCAGGTTTGGGGCAGGTCTTGGCCCCAAGTTGTGTGGTCAGAGTTTGGGTACTTTCTCCAGGCCCCCCTCTACCCTATATCTGAACTGACTCCTCTCCCCAGTCTTCACAAGAACGCCCCCCCCCCGCCGAAACTGGCAATGGTATTGGGGTGCAGATCCCTGGCTGCCCTGGGATGAGACAGACGTGGCGGATTCTGCCGATGGCAGGTGCTGGGGTCCAAGGGGCCTTCCCAAAGTCGCCGGCTCCCAGCGCCTGGCCAGTCTCACGGGGCCCTCTGTCCGCAGGGGAGGATGAGAAGCTGGCGTCCCTGCTGGAGGGGCGCTTCCCGCGGAGCACGTCGATGCAAGACTCCGGGCGTGAGGGTCGCGGCA